GTCCTCAAACTTTTCAAACAGGGGGCCAGTTCACTGTCCCTCAGACCATTGAAGGGCCGGACTATAGTTTAAAAAAACTATGAACAAATTCCTATGCACACTGGACGAGTCGGCTTCTAAGCAGGACAGGCAGTGGCGGCAAAAACACCAGGCGGGCCGGATAAATTTCCTTGGCGGGCCGCATGTGGGCCGTGGGCGGTAGTTTGAGGACTTTGCCCTAGATGCTACATCTTTTGACAGCTGGGCACCATCAACTTTCTTCACCACATTTGCTTATGCACCCGTAAAGCTCTTTTTTATACACATAGCGTGTCCATGAATTTGTTTCTCTAGTCTACCTGGACTAACACAGGGACAGATGAAAGAAATGGACATACTAGAGAAATGACCTTAGGAAAGTCAACAAAACAAACGTGTCATCATGCAGAGTACATTGGAAAGTGTACTACTGCAGAGCAGATGCCGTTAGGATAAAAATTTAACACCTTGTCATTTGATCTCCCTTTTGATCCATTTTAAGTTTGTTCCAGTTTTTAAAAAAATATTTTCTGCTTTCTTTTCAATTGAGATTTTTCTGTTTTACTTTGCTATTGTTGGCTTTTTTGGTTTTTGTTACGTTTTCCTGTACATGAAATCTAGGATAGGTTAACTCTATCGAGACAGTAACTGGATTAATGGTTTCTTGGTGGTATGGCAAGAGAGGTTGGGGAAAAATGGGGAGCTAATAACAGTGAGCATAAGAAAGAAGCAAATATTCTAAAACTGGTTGTGGTGCTGATGGTACAACTCTTCTTAATATGATTGCTTGATTGAATTATAAGATATGTGAGTTATATGCATATAAAATTGTTAAAAATAATTAAAAAAAATAAGAGGAAACGAATCCAAGCCATTCTAATGAGAGAGAATCATCTCTAATTGTAGTTTTGGTTTGCAGTTCTCTTATGGCTAATGACATTGACCATCTTTACATATGCCTGTTGCCCATTTCAATGGAAAGAAACTCTTTACTCCCTAGACTACCTTCAGGGGTCCTCTTAGACCCCTACTGTATTCCATTTACTCTCTTCACTCTCTCAGAATCCACACTGAGATGCCTAGGGTCGGCAGTCTAGTTCAGGAAATGTCCATAAGGAGCCTCACCTATCCTCAAGATCCTTTTTCCTCTGCCTTGTTAGCTTTAAACTTAAATACGTCTATCGGCATGTCTTCTCATTCAATTATTCCACCTGTTTAAAAAAAAAATCTATTGCAACTACTCCACTCCACTATTTCTTACTTAGACTACTACAATAGCAACCTAATTGGTTCTCCTTTCTTTCCCCAACACATTTGTGCAGCAAACTGTATCTAGAGTGCTCTTAAAACTCTATGTGGAAAAATTTTTTAACTTTTATCCATTTCTGCTGGAAATATAGAACATTTTTTTGTGGAAAAAATGTAGCAGTTCCTCAAAATAAACTAAACGTAAAATTATTACAAGACCCAACAAAAGACTTGAAGGCAGACTCAAAGACTTCTGAGATAATGTCCATTGCAGCACTGTGTCAGCCTCGGTACATTAGAGAAACAAACCCACAGAAACGCATATGTATGAGACAGAGTTTTATATAAAGGGTAAGTGCACATTAAGAAAGCATCCCAACTCAGTGCTGCCCAAATCCATAAGTCCGACAATAGCCCATATGTCTGACATCGATCTACAAAGTCCTCCTCAATCTCACAAAATACACACAATGACGTAGACTGGAGAAGAAAGCCGAATCAGTGAGCATGTAAGCATCTCAGCGCTGGCAGTGGTCTCCCGCACGGCTGCTCCAGCACCCAGGACTGCATCAGGGTAGGTACATGTGGCTTCTCCTCAGGGATGTCTTGCAGGAAGTAAGCCTTGCAAGCTGAAGCAAGGAACTGGCTAAGGCAGCTGCACCTGGTCTGACCGTCAGAAAGCAATAGACCCAAGAACTAGAAAGGTGAGGCTCATGGAGCCATTTATCTCTCTGCCCTTCAATTAATCCCACATGTGTTTATCGGCCAGGTGGTCACAATAAACTTTAACTATCTCAAGCATTATTCACAACAGTCAAAAGATGGAAACCACCTCAATGCCCGTCAGCAGATGAACAGTAAGGAAAATGTGGTGCAGATACACAATGGAGTATTAGTCAGTAGGAGAAATGAAGTCTATAATGCTACAATATGGATTGAAGACTATGCTGAGTGAAATAAGTCCATCATAAAACCTCATATAAAAAGATCAGAAAAGGCAAATGTAAAAAGATCAAAGTTTATTAGTGATAATCAAGGGCAAGCAAAAGGAAGAAAGGAGGACAGGCTCTTGCTTATGGAGTTCTGATTTATGGCAATGGAAAAATTGCATTAAGGGTAGAGTTACATAGCCAATTATAGTTAAGTGCTAGCAATGATTTGTACATTGGTAAAAAAGTTGAATTGGCAAAAGTCATGCGACAGATATAATTACACTGCCACCACCACCAAAAAACAGTTGCTGACGGTGCTTAAGTACAACCAAACACCTGGTGGGATGTGGTTCCTTTGGTGTGGAAGTAGAGTCATAGGTTCATGGGACATTCCAGTTAATTGGCTTACTATCATGTATAGTGTTTGTGTTGTGCCTCCTGGTTCACTGCACAGTACCTGAAGTCATAAAAACTCACAGGCAGCCATCCAAGGCACAACGATTGGTCTCTATTTGTCTGGGGCAACAGAAAAAGGAAGTGTGAGGAATAGGAGGAGGATATGGGGTTTACGCCTAATTACCTCCATCAATAACTGCCTACTGCCATGAATCCAGAACGAGATGGCGCCTGGCTGCTATTACTGAACCTTTTGATCAAAGGTTCTTTCGAAGACTCCTGATCATAAAGGGAAAAAATATAGAATAGAATTTAAAATTTTCCTGGACTCTAGATTTTCTGGAACCATGGAGGCTGGATAAACGCCCTGAAACTATTGCCTGGTGAGAATCTTAAAACCTTATCTTCAAAGGGAGCAACAGTTTAACGTA